TGAAAAAGAGAGGGGGCGGGGCGCGCCGAGCTCGCGAGGGGAGGAACACTGGGGGTCACCGCAGGCATGGCCACGCTACGCGGGCTGCGAGAGACGCCGCGGCATTTATTAGTCTGTGAGAAATCCAACTTCGGCCACGACAAGTCACGCCACCGGCATCTCGTGGAGACGCACTATCACAACTACAAGGTGAGTCGCGCCGCAAAAGAGAGGGGGCGGGGCGCGCCGAGCTCGCGAGGGGAGGAACACTGGGGGTCACCGCAGGCATGGCCACGCTACGCGGGCTGCGAGAGACGCCGCGGCATTTATTAGTCTGTGAGAAATCCAACTTCGGCCACGACAAGTCACGCCACCGGCATCTCGTGGAGACGCACTATCACAACTACAAGGTGAGTCGCGCCGCACTTGGTCCCCTTGGGCGAGAGACGTTTGAAGCAGCGCCCGGATAGGCTTCTGGTGGCCGGGCCTCTTGGCGCGCGGAGGAACGAGGCTGGCGGCGGGCTCTCGCTGGACACGGTGGGAAATGTAGTGCCGCCGCCGCCCAGCGCGTGTAGCTGTCAGAGTTGCCGGACTACAGTTCCCAGCGTGCATCGGGCGCGGGGGGGGCATACTTCTGGATGGAAGTATTTACCTGCGGATTTCGAGTCTGCCTTGCTCTTCGCCGGGAAGTCCGCTGAGCGCGGAGAAGGTGGGGCGGGAGTTGGAAGGGAGTGACCACTGCCACATGCTGCTGTCCTTCGCCCTAAATCTGGGCGGGTCCCGTAGCTCCTCCCTACCATGGGGTCCCTGCTGCGCCCGACTCCCTCGCCCGTCTGCATACTTGTGCACCTTTCCAGAGTAGTGTGCAACCCCGGTTGCGTGCTTTTCTAAACTGCTTATGGGAACAGGTTTTATATCCGAGTGACTCCAGATAAACCCAGCCTTAGGATGGTATGGATTTGACTAAGCATTTTACATTTTAGGTTGATCGCCAATTGATCTCTCAGAGATTTTTAATTTTAAGATGGAACCTGAGCCCTCCAGAACAGATTGCTGTCCAGTCGTTGGGAGAGAGACTTTCAAGAAGGGGATGCTGGAGAGCATTTGAAGCTTGTTGAATTTTAACATTTCTGCTTTAGTTGGAAAGTTATCACAGTATTTAGGGTATACCTTAACTCCTCTGGTCTGACCTGCTTCATTTCCTGTCTACAAAATAGAAACGAAACGTATCTGCTTCCAAGTAGCCTTGTCGTTGGGTATCGCTAAATTCCTTATGTTCCCAGGGACAGTTCTCCTGGAAATTCAGGTAGCGAAAGGGACAGGACATAAAATAATACTGCTCATTTTTAAAAGATAAAATGCAAGCAAGACCTTTCCATTTCAACACTTCTGTACAGTCTTTTCCCTATACTTTATGTTTGAATGCAAAAGTGGAAAACCTGAATTGTGAATTTTCTTCACCGGAGATTTGATAAATTAAGAGGTTTGTTGCCTGCGTTGCATGTTCCAGTGAATCCTGTGATGCACAATGAGCAACTTTCATGATCCTTCACTCCTAAAAACCTGGTGCTACTCTCCAGTAAAATAAGACCTTTTTATTAAACATCCCAATAGGTTTCTTTCCTAATTCCTGAATGTGGGATACTATCGAAAGAACTGAAAAACCTGGTCATGGAAATGGGACCCTATTACTTTGTGAAGAACTTACCTCTTCATGAATTAATTACGCATGAATTCATCAACACTTTTGTGAAGAAAGGTAAGGAAAACCACACAATGCCTGTGCATAAAGCAGGGTGAGGAAGTATAGGGAGACCACAGCACAATACTAGGGTGTTTCTCTTGTTTTAAGCAGGGCCTGTGGGGATAGTTCCTGTGCTTAGGTCCATGCACACTCATCCCCCATCCCTCAGTATTCTCCTGCTGTCTCTAAGTCTTGGCTGCGGGTGTTGTAATGTAAGGGCGTCCATCATCTTAAGGCAGGATTACTAGGGAGAAGTCTCACAGTCTGTCCAGATGCACTGCTCTTGGTGTTGCTGCAGACACTGTGTTCAGCCCTCCCCGCAGTCGGGAGCTTGGAGTCCTGATGCAGCCTCCACTGACAGTCACAGGGCCAGACGTGCCTTTTGGTCTAGTGTCATCATCCTTGATTTTGTGTTGCTGTCCTCTGCTCATCACATTCCCAGTTGTGTCTGCTGTACTGATTGGTTTGTTCCAGTTGTTTCTAGGAGCCATCTGTTGGAAATTATATTTCAGAGTGTCCTTAGGGTTTCCACCCTCACCTCATACGTGGCCCTCAGACTGAGCTTCTTGTAGCCCCGCGTCTGGCCTCTCCAGTAGACTGGGGAGAATTCTCTTGTTGCACCTCTCCTTCTGAGGCTCCTAAGTCTGCTTATGAAACTAAACATCTTGCTTTTGTCTTCATGGACATTCTTGTCATCATTTGAAGTCTGACATTACTTTGGCAATGATATGGACATGTTTTGTAGCAGGCACTTTAAATAGCTTACCAGATTTAACCCTTGCAGCAACTGTGAAGTGGAACTGTGATCCCCATTTAACAAGCGAGCAAAGGTTGAATGGCTTGAGTATGAACCTAGGTGAGTCGCTTGTGAATATTACCTGCAGCTCTGCCGTAAGGTATATACATTTACCTAGGATTCTGCTTTGTGCCTTTCTGCCAGCATCCCCAAGGTAGACACTCTGTCCTGACTCCATTTTCTGCCTGGTGATAGTAAACTTTACAAATAGGCCGTGAGTAGAGGAGGAACTATAGGGCCTTGTGTGTGCTGCAGTTTAACCGTGGCATGTGTTAGGGTTAAGTGAGCCAGAGCCTTGGTAGATACTTACCTGCTTGAAAGTTTGGTTGTCATGTGAAAATAATACACTAACATTTTGCAAGTGTAATTTTTTTCTTTGTCTTAATTTCTCCTCTTACCTTTCTCTTATAGGTTCATGTTATGCACTGACGTATAATACAAATATTGATGAAGATAATACTGTTGCACTGCTACCAAATGGTAATACTGACTTTTTCTTTATTCTTTAAATATAAAAGACATGCATACTATAAAAAATGGTCACATCATACAGATCTATATAAAGTGAAGGTCCTTCATCCCTGAAAACTTAGTCTTGTTCTGCAAAGGAACTATTAACAGTCTGATGTATATTCTTTATATTTTCTTTGAATTCATAAATACATATTCTTTTTAACATAAATTTTATCTTACTATATAGTTTTTTAACATCCTTTTTTCCTAGGCTGCATATCATAAACATGTTTTCCTGTCAGTGTATCTTAGTTTTTTGTTGCTGAGACACAATACCCAACACCCACAAGTTAAAGGAAAAAAACTATATTTTAGCTCAGGGTTACAGTCCGTGGTCAGCTTGCTCCAAGGCAAGGTGGAAGAGCCAGGTAGAGGCAAACTGCTCAAGTCATGCAGCCAGGAAGCAGAGAGGAGAGGAGCTGGGGAGGGAGAAAACCCTTCCAGGTCACAGCCCCAGTGACCTGTCTCTTCCCACCAGACCCCATCTCCTAACATCAACATTCAGCTGCAGCTCTCTGTGATACATTCATCTTCTAAAAGCCCTGCCTCTGAGCACATGAGAGTTTTGGGGTCTTTGATATAAACTATAATACACTGCAAATACTTCTAACTTATAAATATTGATGTCTTAAAGATACTTGAAATATACCATATTGTATAACTACTTTAATAGAAGTTTAGAATATTTTTAATTCCACTATTTATACTGTCCTTGTATGCATATATGTGTAAATAATATACATGTATAAATAAGGTCCTCGTAAGCATTTTATTACAAATAATGTCTAAATTCTTTGGTTGCCTTTTATTCTTAGACAATATAAGTCATGTTTTTAGCTTTCCTTCAATGTAAATTATTTAATTATAGGGAAATTAATTTTATCACTGGATAAAGACACTTATGAAGAAACTGGACTTCAAGGTCATCCATCTCAGTATTCTGGCAGGAAAATTATGAAATTTAGTAAGTAATATGTACCTCCATTAGTGGCTTCCACCCAGTAATCTTTGTTTAGCAATTAATTTTTTTTTTTGGTATTGGAGATTGAACTCAGGATCTTGTGCTTGCCAGGCAGCCATGGTGCCACTGAGCTACACCCTTGGTAGCAATTAAATTTAAATGTTTGAATTACCTCTAATCTCTTTATTCAGAAAAATACGGCTCTTTTTTGTCTTCAAAACTTCTGATTGAAGAGTTACCGGTTGAGTTCCATAGAGGATCAGATAGTGCTGTTTACGCTTGTTTTTTCTCTTTACCCCAGGTGGCATTCCATAAAGATGAGTGAATTAGTCCTTTACATGTTTTGGGTCAAAAATTTCAAGAAATGAATCCCAAGGAGCAGTCTACAACTTGTTCTTAATAAACAATTTCCTTTAATTTCCCCAAGTCTTTATGATTAACAGTAGAAATTTGCTCATGAGCGAAATGGTGTGGTTCTGGCTACTGTGTTTGCTGTGGACAGGTTCCACATCCCAGAGTAGATTAGCGTTGAACTCCTGAGGGCTTGTGACATGGGTCTTTTTAAAAATTTTATCTATCTATCTATCTATATCTCTATCTGTGGACTGGAGATCAAACCCAGGGGCTTTACCACTGAGTCACATCCCCAGCCCTTTTTATCTTTTATTTTAAAACAGTCTTAAATTGTGTAGGTTGGCCTTGAAGTTGTGGTCCTTCTGTGCCAGCTTCTCAGGTACTAAGGTTAAAGGCGTGTGCCACCACACCCAAATTGCCCTTGGGCTTTGACCTAGGAAAGATATGAATTTAAAACATTTGTTAGTACTAAAAATAGTTTTTAATGCTAGAAATACCCACTGAAGGGATATTTTTGATTTGGTAAACCATAGAAAGAACAAAGTAATTCTTACTAAAATTTTCAGAAGTTCTGACTTTTTTTTTTTTTTTGGTACTAGGGCCGAACTTGGGACCTGTCCTTGTGAGGCAAACAGCAGAACTACTGAGCTAAATCCCCGGCTTCCTGACTTTTTAACATAACATTTTCTTCACAGTGTAAGCTGTATATATTTGAATGAAACATATGTTCCTTTTTCCATTTTTTTAAAGTTGTTTCCATTGATTTGATGGATTTATCCTTTAACCTGGATTCTAAGAAGTACAAAAGAATATCTTGGTCCTTGAAAGAAAAGAAGCCATTGAAATTTGACTTTCTTTGGGCTTGGCATCAGACAGGTATGAAGAATAAATTGTGTAATGATGCAGTGATTTTGAAATCTAATTGTTACAGAGGAGTAATGGAAGATCGAATGGTGATTCATCTCTGGCAAAGGGCTGCTGTGTAGAGAGATGAATGAGCATTATTAAGGCAACTGCGTTAGCCCTTCTGATGTGACGAGAACCGTAGTGCAGGATGACCTAGGCCTGTAAGCCATCTGCCTTGGTCTTCTTGGGTTACAGTAAATGCAGAGACCTTCAGAGTGGCTTCCAAGCAGCTAACTTATCTATTTCCTCTCCTCCTCCCAGCTTCCACAAACATCCTTGGCTAGAATATTTTAAATTAACACCAATTGTATATTATGTACTTATTCATTATCGCGAGTTAATAGCAGCCATGCTATTAAGTATCAGATTAATTTTTTTTTATAAATTTAACTGATTAGAACACTAACTGTAGTTCATGGTTTGATGTTCATGAAGTATGTTAATCTGCTCATAATTGCATACGCTGATCCTTTTAGAAGTGTATCTTTGGCCAGTTCACAACTGCAATGAATGAAATCATTAGGAGTCATGATGATATACTAGTTTCCTTTGAGGATAGGGAACATGTTGATCCATGTCTTGCTCACCATCTTGTTGCTGGGATATAATCCCCAATACCCACAACTGAAAGGAGGAGGAGTGTACTTTGTCTCGTTTTCAGGCCATTTTTAGCCAAGACCAAGGCAGAAACGGCATGGCAAGGGGGCCAGAAAGAGGCTTACATAATGATGGCCAGGAAGCAGAGAGAAAAGGGAAGAGTCAGGGAGAGAGATGCATCCTCCAGGTGATGCCACCTGTGACTAGCCTGTAACTAGGCTCCTCCTCCTAAGAGCCTGTACAGCTACTGAACTCATTCATGGACGATCATTAGAAGCCCCATGATTCTCTTATCTAGCAAAAGCCCCACCTCTGAGCACATGAGGCTTTGAGGGGACATTCTTGATCTAAACCATAGCAGTCTGTTTTGGAAATACGCCCATCTGGCTGGCTGCTGGGTGTCCAGGTTGCTTCCATGAGTCGTCTGTAATACTTTGGTGCCTCTCCTGTCTATAGCAGTTACAAGATATAACAGAGATTTACCGAAGTTGAAGCCACTTGAAGTCATATATGAGGACTATCTATGCAGTGGTTCTGGATAGCTTTCTGTTCCCGAGACTCTTAATTGTTACTTTCAGAGTTTCTTAGGGACTATAAAAAGTCCAAGATTTTTTTCCCACTTGAGGTTAACAAAGTAGCTTGCAACAGTCTCATATGTTGGCAGAAAACATGGATTTCCTGGGTCAGAGACAAAGGACTTAATTCCTCACAGAAATAGTAGGCAGAGTGTTAGGGTTCTCCAGAGAGACAGAACCAATGGATGGAAGGATGGACGGATGGATGGACGGATGGATGGACGGACGGGAGGCACTTAATAGGAGAAATGGTTCTTGCGGTTGTGGGAGCTGAGAAGTCCCACGGTAAGCCATCTGCAAGCTGGAAGGCAAGGAATGTCAGTCCATATCTGAAAGCCTCAAAACCATTGACCCAAGGCCAAAGGTCTAAGAACCAGGGGGCCACTGGTACAACTCATAGTCCCAAGGCCAGAGAACCTGGAATTTTGACCTCCAAGAGCATGAGAATCTGCCTGTCCCAGCTCCACACAGTGTGAATTAGCCTTTCCTCTGGCTTTTAGTTCCATTCAGGCCCACAGCCAGTTGGATGGTGCCCTCCTGCATTGATAGTGGATCTTCCCTCCTTGGTTCCCTGACTCGTATGCCAGATTCCTCTGGAAGTAGTTGTGGAGGTCCAGGAATAGTGCTTTACCACCTATGTAGTTAGCCCTTAATTCAGTCACATTGACATCTAAAATTAGCCACCACATGGAGAACGAGCATCTGTACCAGTTCACCTAGCTGTGGTCCCCGGAGAGTGACACAGAGTTGGCCTAGTCATGCTGACGTGCAGTGGGTTCCATCACAGGCAAGGAACCGGAGCTTAAGGAACTCAGACCTTTTATAATGGGCGCTAAGCTTGCTGACCTTTTCTGGGACAGGGAGGGAGACATTATTTCAACTCAACAGTAAGCTGGCCTGCCCTTGCTCTGGAGGGAGCCTGTTTCTGCCTTCTACAGCTGTCAGCTACACAGACATCCCTGAAAAGACACTCGATTTTATTGAGTTTTCAAAGGCAAGCATGAGTGGGATTCTGACGGCATTGCATTCCTCTTCAGTTTCCTCTGGAGAGATTTGCAAACATGTTTCTCTCTCTGTAGCATCCATTACTGTTACTCATACTCTGGGTTTTATGTTAGGATAAAATTTTCTTAGAGCAGATTAAACTGATATGGGCCTAATCTGAAAAGTATTGCACATTTCCAAGAGAAGTGTGAAGGAGATCGAGTCTACTGAACTCTGGCACTGGGATCCAAAAGTAACTTTAAATGATTTGAGTTTGAATCCGGCTTAGCATAGCTTCCCTTTTACTTAGTCCTCCTTGCTTCCCCCCAACTCCCAAAAGGGATTGGCATGGTTTGGGGGATTCACTGAACTTGCTTACATCTTTCACGTGGTCTTATGTGGTGTTTCAAGGTACAGAAGAATCAGCAGTGATGTCATACTTTTCAAAATACCAGATTCAAGAGCAGCAGCCCAGAGTATCAGTGAGCACACTGAGAGATCTGCAGTGCCCAGTGCTGTGGAGCGGTGAGCTCCGCGGAGAGCCAGAGGAGTCCTGCAGTGCCCCAGAGCTCTTCGACTGGCTTGGCGCCCTCTTCTGTGGAGTAGACCTGTGGGTATCTGCGTCTCTGGACTGTGTAGGGCTCTGGCTTGCTGCTTGTTTTCAATAGGATTTTAATATTCCAGATGGATATAAATATATTTTCTTTTTTCTCTTTTTGCAACAGAAATAATGAACCTAATAATTTTATATCAACCTGTTGCTGTCCCCAGCCAAGCACAGTGGTGGCAAAAGCGAATTTGTGCACAATCACTGGTTTCATAGTTCCAGAGAAGATCTGTGTTCTGCTGGAACAGTTGTGGTGAGAACCCCTTTGTCTTTTACACATGGTTGGCTTGCCCACAGTGCTGTGTTCCCCATGGCAGGGCCATTACTTGCATTTCCATTTTTCCTTGCTAGGCTAGAGTGCGGTAACGAAGTCAGAAATGGTGTAATTATCCTTGCTGGTAAGAACGTGCTGTTGCCAAGTACTTGTCCTTATGAAAAGATAAAGCAGAGCTTCGTTACTGCTTCTTGAACACAAACTGCTGGTTTTCATGGTTCTGCTCCCCTGGGCCATTTGGGGAGCACAGTTGTAATATCACCTAAAACCACAGTAATATTCTGTAGGACAAATTAGGATCTCTTACAAGTATTGTAAAATCTTTAATTCTGAAATGGAGTGGAAAAGAGTTCATCATCTCTGAATCCAAATCGTATGTAATACATGTTTCTCCAATGAAATTCTGTGAATCACAGGGCATTACTAAAACAGCAAGTATTGTATAGAATATTATAGGCTCTTCATTTGGGGAGGTACTGTATAAGTCAAATGTGTACATCATGCCTAATGTGTGAACATGCAAGTCCCCCATGGAAAAGACTAAATTGTCCATAATCCTATTTAATAAGCATGTTGTCTCAGTCTTTTTTTTGAAGTGTCTATGATTTAAGTCTGCAGGGTTTTCTTTTTAAAATCTAGCTTCCTTGTTCATATTTATAAATTTTACCCTTTGATTTTCTTAATTAAAAAGACCAGCTTTAAAAAATTCTAATGGAACTGTTCTGCATTGTTTCACTGAACAGACTGGGAATAGCACTGAAAATGGGAGGAAAACTGTTATTAAACACCTTGTGGAATATTTTTGGTTTTGGTTCTGGTTCTTTTCATCTTGAATGACCTTCTAGAATAAGAATGGACACCACTTAGGTTGTTTCTGGGCCGTATGTTAGTCAGTCTTTATGGAATTTATGATAGAACATCAGGAATTTGCATCTCCTAATTTTTAAAAATTAGAGCAAAAGTTTAAGCCTCATGACTACATGAGAGGGCTGGGTATTTAGCCCTGGTTCCGCTGCCTGCCTTGCAAGCACAAGGACCGGAGTTTGATCCTTGGTACCAAAAAAAAATGAAAAAAAAAAAAAAAAAAAAAAAAAAAAAGATTTATAACTACATGTGAAATACCACTTAGCTTGAATATTTTGTTTTTTTAACTATGAATTTCCCTCACCTCCCTGTAAAGAATTGTTTTTCTTTTTCAGCCACTACTTTGATGAGCCGAAGTTAGCTCCATGGGTTACATTGTCAGTGCAGGGCTTTGCAGACAGCCCTGTTTCATGGAGAGAAAATGAACATGGTTTTCGGAAAGGAGGAGAACACTTATACAACTTCGTGATTTTTAATAATCTGGACTATTGGCTTCAGATGGCTGTTGGAGCAAATGATGACTGTCCACCATAAAAAGTACAAAACCTAAAATCATGTCTGTTTATGCTTGTCTTCAGATTTTTTAATTGTAAAAGGGTTGTGTGTTCACTCAGGCTTCTATAATGATGATGCTTCTCAGACCAGCTTTTGCCAGTGCTCTCTTCTGAAGGGCCACCGTCTGTCATGTCTGTGTCATCCAGTACTGGTGCACAGTTGGTTTCTCTCAGTTGGTGCAAACACAGACGTGGCCCTTCACAGCAGGGCAGGCTCGATTGGGCAGGGACCAGGGAGTATTGGACTCCTGAGCAAGTTGTGTGCTATTACTTGTTACAACTTTTTCAAATAATGAAATCTTCAGATCATCCTTACCAGGCCAACAGTCCCTGTTGTAAATGCTGGGGAAACTGAGGCACTGAGTAGGTAAGCTCCTGAAGTCGTACTGCCAGTCAGTCAGATTCCGTGTCAGGCCAGCCTGGTTCTAAGTGTGTGTTCTCTGTCACCTCTGGGTTGGGGAAGGATATGTATATACTCTCAGTTGTTAAACAAGTTGAAAGAATTTTAGCTGATAAGGGCCAGATGAAAACAATTTTAGAAGAATGTAAAGAACCATTTTTAAAAAATTTGTCAGTTGACTTGCAAAATAAAGAGTTTTCAAATGTTTTTGTTTGTGTTTTTGTTTCAGTGCTGGGGAATAACCAACCGGCCTCCCTTGTGCTAGGCCCGCTCTCCACTAATGAGCCATATCCCCATATCCCCAGCCCTCAAAAAAGTTGGGTTTTTTTTCTCTTTTTTTAAAAAAAGTTGTTTTAATGAAAGTAGAAACCCAAAGCAATTAAAGCACCAATAACATTTAAGTCAATATATTTTTCACATGTCAAATTTCATTTAATTTTTTTTGTTTTTTTTTGTTTTTTTGTTTTTTGAGACAGGGTCTCACTATGTAGTTGAGACTGACCTGGAACTTACTATGTAGCCCAGGCTGGTTTCAAACTCACAGCGATTATTCTCCTGACTCAGCCTCCCAAGTGCTGGGATTACAGGTGTGCACAACCACGCCTGGCTACTTAATTTTTTTTTTTTTAATCTTACTGAGTTTATTGGTACTTTTAAAGTATACAGTACAGTTACATTCATCACTGGGATCCTGTACCTTTACATGACAGGTCTTGGTTCTCATTGTTCCCCATACCCCTGCCCTCCCTTCACCCCCTCCAGCCTCCCCTATTTATGAAGACTTTGTTTCCAGTTTTTCCTTTTCTCATATTTTTTTCTTGTCCCTATTTCCTTTCCCTTACACCTTTAGCTCTTTTCTTCCTATTTCATATTATCATTTTGTACTTAATTTCTTCATCACCTGGGTTGGAGAGGGAGCTGAACAGCAGACAAAAGCTAGGGTCTGCCTAAGGTGGAAAACTGCTAAAGCAGAGACCTTGTAAAATTGAGACTGCAAAAGGAGAGCTTTAGCGTAGTGGTGAGCTATGAGTACACCTGCCTGCTGCCCTCCCAGCTTCCTCTTGTCCTAAACAGGAAGGAAGTTGCCTGTCCTGAGGGAAAGCATCTTCTTTGGAGGATATGTGTGTATTTGCATGTATGCACACATACATTGTGTACTGAAGTCACAAGCAGCCTTTAAGGTGCTTTGTATGCACAGCCTAGGGGACTCAGGTACCAAGGTGGAAATTGAAAGTGGTAGCAGGGTTTATTGCTCTCCAGGTGATGAAAGCAAAACCTATTACCTTTGGAGAAACTGAAAGATAATTTCAAGGACTATAAGTTCATAGAAATCAGGCTGGTGATGTAGTTCAGTGGCGCCTGCACCTGCCTCATAAGTGCAAGGTCCTAATACCTGGTACGGGGGGCGGGGGGAATCACAAACACAAACAGGCAGCAGATAAAATGAACAGACACTAGCTTTAAAGGACTCAAAGTGATCACATGCAATATGAAGTATTTTTAAATAAGAATTAAAGGGCATGATTATAAAAATAGCCAGTCAGCTTGAGAAAAGTGCCGAATAGGTTAGGAATGCAAAATATAATTAAGTTCAACTGATTGGTTTATCAGCTGACTAAACACTGCAAAGGGAATCATAGATGTGATAAAACAGACATTTTCAGACTTGCAAAAGCTAAATGATAGCTCCCAAAGGCCTGTACCACAAGAAAAGAGCAAGGCTGTCCTCGGGGCAGAAGGGAAGCTCAGTGAGGGATAAAAGAGCCCTGGGGATGGTTACCAGGTGAGCAGATGCACCATTTCTCCTTTGAACCTTTTAAAAGCAGTTGTTTAAATAAAAATATAGTATAATATTTAAAATAAATGAAAAAATATAGTGGCAGACCATATCTTTTAAAGACAAGGAGAGAGGAACATATAATTGTAGGATTCTTGTAATACGAAGCATTGTATTATCATTTGGATGTAGTCTGTGATAAAAGAGGTGTAGCATAAACCCTAAAGCAACCATTAGAATGAAAAACAAAAAAATCTTAGCTCTTTAATAAAAAGGTAAAATGAAATAATAGAAAATACTTGATTAATATCAAAGAAGACAAAAAGGTGTAAAAGGCAATAAATAGATGGGATGAGTAGAAAACAAATGGCGCGGTGAGAGACTCAACCTCCTCACATTAAATGTAATTACCCCAATTAAAAGGCAGAGAATGCCAGTTTGAGTTGAGCATAAAAAGATGACTATACTCTGCCCACAAGAAGTGTGCTTTGGGAGCCGGGGATTTAGCTCAGTGGTTTTGCAGCCTGCCTAGCAAGCGCAAGGGCCTGAGTTCGATCCCCTGTACTAAAAAAATAAATAAATAAATAAATAAATAAATAAATAAATAAATAAATAAATAAATAAATAAATAAATATGCTTTAAATAGAAGTTATCAAATGGCGCGGTGAGAGACTCAACCTCCTCACATTAAATGTAATTACCCCAATTAAAAGGCAGAGAATGCCAGTTTGAGTTGAGCATAAAAAGATGACTATACTCTGCCCACAAGAAGTGTGCTTTGGGAGCCGGGGATTTAGCTCAGTGGTTTTGCAGCCTGCCTAGCAAGCGCAAGGGCCTGAGTTCGATCCCCTGTACTAAAAAAATAAATAAATAAATAAATAAATAAATAAATAAATAAATAAATAAATAAATAAATAAATAAATATGCTTTAAAGATAGAAGTTAAAATAAGGATGGGCTCAGGAGGCAGAGGCAGGAGAATCACTGTGAGTTCAAGACTAGCTTGGGCTACATAGTTCAGGGTCAGCCCAAACTACAAAGCCAGATCCTGTCTGGGAAAAAAAAAAGTGTAAAGATGGAAAAGAGATATACCATGATAACACTTTTGAATGAAACCTGCAGTGCCTTATTATCAAAATGGGTATCAGAGAAAGAGTTACACTAGGGTTTAAGGGAGGCTGTATAATATGGATAAGTTAAGTAACAAAATATAATCCTTGAGTTTGGCCACCTAATAAGCTTCTAAATATATCAAATAATAAATGAAAAGAACAGACAAAAGCATAATAGTTTAGTACTCATCTCAATAATCGGTAAAGCAGAAAATCAACATAGTAGACTTAAGCAACATGCTCAGCCAATTAGACCTGATTGGTATTTGTAGAATATTCCATGCTATTGCAGCAGAAGACACATTTTTTCTTAAGTGCATATGGACTGTAGAGGTAGAGCCATTATGGCCCGTCAAAAAGTCTCAGATTCAGAAGTAATTGTCATAGAATGTATGCTTTCTGGCCACCGCAGAATTAAATTAGAAGTCAATACCAGATCCTTCAAAAATCTCCCAAATATATGGAAACTAACTGAAGAATCTATAGGTAAAAGAAATCTAAAGGGAAATTAGAAAATAATATAGAAGTTTTCAATTGCCACCAAATCAGAACTTTGAGGAAACATTATGGCATTAAAATATCTATATTGAAAAAAGAAGATCTAAAATCAGACATTTTTTAAAAGCTCAAAGCAAGTACAGAAAAAGGATAATAAAAATCAAAAGGGGACTCAAATGAATTAAAAAGAAAAATCTATGGATCAAAAAAAATTTGGGGGAGTTTTCTGGTACCAGGAGTCAAACTCAGGACCTGTGCTTGACAGGCACTCATGACACCACTGGGCTAAATCTTTAGCTCCCAAAACTTCTTTATCAAAGTAGAATTCAGTGGAATTTTAAAAAGAAAAGAAATCTGTGGATCCAAAAGCTTATGCTTTGGAAAAATTGAATGGATGGGTGAGTAAAATCTCTAGCAAGATTTATCAGATCAATATTTCTCATGAATGTAGGGGGAAAATTCCAAGCAAAAGCCTAGCAATTTGAGACCTGCAGAGCAAGAAAGAAGTAATACATCATGATCAGATGGGATTTATCCAAGGAGCACAGGCTTCATTTAACACTCAAAAATTAGTGTAATTCATCATATAAACAAGCTAAACAAGCATAATTATATAATCATCTCAACACAGAGAAAGCATATGACAAAGATCCAACATCCATTTCTTTTACACAAATTAGGAATAAATGGATGAAGGGCATCTACCAAAACTCTTCAGCTAACATCATCAATTGTGCAAGACTGGATATTCTGCGCTGACGTCAAAAACAAATCAGAGAAGTCTGCTCTTACCACTTCAGTTCAACATAATATTGGAGGTTGTAGTCAGGCAAGAAAGG